TTTTTTTTTTTTTTTGAGAGTAGCCATTCTACTGGATGTGAGGTAGGATCTCATTGTGGTTTTGATCTTAAAGTGGTGTTTTGGTTTGTTTTTTGTCCAGCAGCTGGAATCTTGTTTCAGTTATTTTATAAACTGGGCTACATGGACTCTGTCCCTATATATATATGTCAGCCTGGAATTTGGGCATGGTTTATATGCAGAATTTGGGGCTCCTCTTCCATGGCTCTCTTCTGTTGAAAGTTTTACTTCTTTTTTTTATTGTTAAAGATTTTATTTATTTACTTGAGATAGAAAGTGAGAGAGAGAGAGAGCATGAGCGGGGAATAGAAGGAGCAAGAAACGGGTTCCCAGCTGAGTAAGGAGCCTGACGTGGGGCTCCATCCCAGGACCCTGGAATCATGACCTGAGCCGAAGGCAGACGCTTAACGACTGAGCCACCCAGGCACCCCTGGAAAAATTTACCTTAAAAAAAATATTGTGTGGGGCGCCTGGGTGGCTCAGTCGTTAAGCGTCTGCCTTCGGCTCAGGTCATGATTCCAGGGTCCTGGGATCGAGCCCCGCATCGGGCTCCCTGCTCGGCGGGAAGCCTGCTTCTCCCTCTCCCACTCCCCCTGCTTGTGTTCCCTCTCTAGCTGTCTCTCTCTCTCTCTGTCAAATAAATAAATAAAAAATCTTAAAAAAAAAAAAATTAAAAAAAAAATATTGTGTGAGTGAAACCACGTGCTCTTCTACATATTCTGGTGCTAGAAGGCCATTTAGTGCGCATGAAGCTAAACTGGAACTTGGGTTGTTGAGTTTGCTCTTTTTTCCTGTCTCTCCAATGAGGTCCATGTGGAAGCCGCAGCTGCCACAGTCAGTCCCTCATTGCTGCACTTGAGATTTCTCCACCTCCGCACTATTGGCATTTTCAGCCAGATAACTCTTTGTTGGGGGGGCTGTCCTGTGTGTAGAGGGTATTGAACAAGCTTCTTGACCCTCCGCAGTAGATGTTAGTAGCAGCTCCCCAGTGGTAACAATCAAAAAATGTTTCCAGACAGTGCTGTGTCCCTGGGGAGCAAAATCTTCCTCAGCTGAGAACTACTCCTGTACGTGTGTGGACCTCTCTGCTCTGTACTCTCAGCTTCTCGCTGGTGTCCGATGCTGCTGGGGCTGCCTTCTTGGTGGCCGTCATAGTGCAGGTTGGGTGAATGTCTTCCCAGCTGGAGTGGAATGGGTGTCTGCCTGTTCCTAGCTTGTTCCTAGCTGACTTTTGGGTTTGGTGCCTTCACTGGGTGTCCCCAGGTGGGGACTATAGCTATGCAGTAAAGCCCCTGATCATCCCATGTAGCCTGAGGTCTTCCTAAAACTGCCCCCCTCTACCCTTGGGCCTCAAGTGGCCAGCAGGCACATTGCAAGTACTACATGTTAAGGCTCAGCAGTGTTGACCTTGCTAGTTAATCTTCAGGAGGTAGCTAAATAAAATTTGCGGTTACTACAGCGCTTCTTGTCTTAAGCATTTAATTTGGGCCGGGGCAAGGAGGGGGTGGATGACAGAGGTTAGCCTGAGCATGAACCAGAACTGACTCGGGTTGTTTTCTCACTTGTAACTCCCCCCACCATCAATTTGGAACTAATGGTGTGCTAGGCTTTGGGAGATCTGGTTTTCAACTGTGCTGATTAGTAACTTTGGGCATGTTGATGAACCTCTGCCTGGGAGTCCTCCTCACCTGCGACCAGGGGAACTTTGGTTTTGAGCTCTTCCCTCTTGTCCTTTTACAAAGGCCTGTCTTTGTTTTTTTTTTTAATGATTTTATTTATTTGAGAGAGAGTGAGTGAGCGAGAGAGAGCACAAGCCGGGGGAGAGGGAGAAGCAGGCACCCCGCTGAGCAGGGAGCCCGATGTGGGGCTCAATCCCAGGACCCTGGGACCACGACCTGAGCTGAAGGCAGACGCTTAACCATCTGAGCCACCCAGGCGCCCCCAAAGGCCTGTCTTTGTGTGAGCTGCCTCAGGCACACATACTAATGGTGAGCTCCCCATTGAACAGTGATTGAGCCGACTGAAGCAAGTGTCCACAGCCACATAGCTGGTTGGTGGTGGTGGCACGACTTGTGTCTCCGTGCCGGACTTTTGTGTCCCCTCCCCCCCTTAATAATTGTCCCTGTTCCTTTCCTTTCAGCTTTATCATTTTGTGATTCTGTCTCATTTTTATGGCATTAGAACTCTCTCCTGTTTATGATGGAAGTATCATAAATGCCTCAAAACAAATAACCACACAAAGGTGTAGAGGTGTTGGCATACTTGTGTTAGGTTTTAAACATAATGTTTCTTTTTATTTTTGTTTTTCTAATACTGTAGTGTTCTAAGAACGGAAGCATCTGGGCTGAATGGAATTTAGCATCAAAAAAGTCCTCTTTCTGTTCAGAAAGTTGTAAAGTACATAAAGATGAAGCAGGCACCAGAAATCCTTGGCAATACAAATGGAAAGACTCAGAACTGTGAAGTGAATCGTGAATGTTCTGTATTCCTCAGCAAAGCCCACCTCTCTACCAGTCTGCAGGAGGGGGTCATGCAAAAATTTAATGGCCATGATGCCCTTCCCTTTATTCCATCTGAGAAGCTGAAAGACCTAACTTCCCGTGTATTTAATGGAGAACCTGGTGCTCATGATGCCAAATTACGTTTTGAGTCCCAGGAAGGGAAAGGACTTGGGACACCACCTAACACCACCCCTATCAAAAATGGCTCTCCGGAAATTAAGCTGAAGATCACCAAAACATACATGAATGGGAAACCTCTCTTTGAATCTTCAATTTGTGGTGACGGTGCTGCTGCTGTGTCCCAGTCAGAAGAAAATGGACAAAAACCAGAAAATAAGGCAAGAAGGAGCAGGAAGAGAAGCATAAAATATGACTCCTTACTGGAGCAGGGTCTTGTTGAAGCAGCACTGGTGTCCAAGATCTCAAGTCCCTCAGATAAAAAGGTACCTGTGAGGAGTTGTGGCCAGGGTAGGGTCGAGTGCAGCAGCTAGTTACCGTGAACTAAACCACGCGAGGGTGCCTCTGCGTGCGGGGTGGGGTGGAGGGGAGGAGAGGCCACCGTGCGTCTGCTCTCCAACTCTCCCTGTGTGCACACGGCCGACCGTGGGGCCTGGGCTGTGCCTGGGGCCCCACTTCAGGAAACCCTGGTATTGCCTCCCTCAAGCCTCACGGCAGCCGGTTGAGCCAGTTGTGAGGCCTGGAGAGATTGATTAAGTGTTCAAGATTAAAATGGCTAAAGAGAGGTAAGACCAGTTTCCAAACCCCCGTCTGGCCAGTTCCAGAGCCCTTGACCTTTAGGCTGTGCTGTTTTCATGGATCTTCTCTCCGGAGACATTCTTTAGCCTAATTATGGAGGTGTGTTGGGATCTAGCATGGGGCTTCTTCAGTTTATACCATCTGAGGAGTGGGAAGCAGAGCTGTGTTGTGCAAGTGCTCTTGTCCTTCCACTTGGTTCACTGTCCACTTGTCTCCTCTACCAGGTGGTCCAGCACGTGGTCTGCCCCCTTGATGGCTGGGGCTGTGTCTTACACCTTCACACTCTTGGTTCCTAGTGCAGAGCCCAGCACTTGAACACATCTGAGCAAGTGTTCAGTCATCTAGCACTGGGTGGAAACCTCTAACTTATAATGAAGGAATGTAGTGGTTTATGTTCCTGTGTCTTTTTTTTTTTAAGATTTTATTTATTTATTTGACAGAGAGAGAGAGAGAGACAGTGAGAGAGGGAACACAAGCAGGGGGAATGGGAGAGGGAGAAGCAGGCTTCCCGCCGAGCAGGGAGCCCGATGCGGGGCTTGATCCCAGGACCCTGGGATCATGACCTGAGCCTAAGGCAGACGCTTAACGACTGAGCCACCCAGGCGCCCCAGTGTCCCTGTGTCTTAAAGTGGCACTCAGGATGGCCCACTACTTAAATGAGTATTAGCCATAGAAAAGAGCTGGGCAGCTTTGGCCTTGGCAGAAGGAGGTAGGGAGGGTGCCAGGGGCTGACAGTCTATATATAGTCTGTATGAACAGAATCTGGAAGGTGCCTGGTGCCCATTGGTATTTAGCTGAAGCTCCAGGCTCACTTGCAGGGGTGGACAAAGGGAACCTGAAACCAGTTTGGGTTGGAATATTTAATCATCACCAAGGTTGGAATATTTAGTTTAAAATTACTGTTGAGGAATTTTATTTACAATTTCCACAGATAAGAGGGGAAATTGCCACAGTTTCCTTGAAATCATTAAAATAAAGATTTTTTAAGGGTTTAAAAAAAGTGTTTTAAGTGCTCAGGAGCTGTTTAGCTTTTGCTAATATAATTACAAGAGTGAATTTTTTATTTTTAAATTTTATTTTTAAAGTATTTATTTATTTGACAGAGTAAGAGAGAGGGAGAGAGAGAGAGCACAAGTAGGCAGAGCAGCAGCAGAGGCAGAGGGAGAAAGAGAAGCAGGCTCCCCACCGAGCAGGGAGCCCGATGCGGGACGCCATCCCAGGACCCTGGGACCATGACCTAAGCCGAAGGCAGATGCTTCACCGGCTGAGCCGCCCAGCCACCCCTACGACAGTGAATTTTTTAAAAGATCAGTTTAGTGAGCTGGGCTGCTACAGGGGTTTTTTGAAGTGCCCATGGTTGTGGGGGGACCTCACTCTTTCATTGGGGAAGAGGCCGGTGCAAGTGATTCCTAGCTCTGCTGCTTGGTTTTGTGAAAACATGGGTAAAATATCTGAATTTTGACTCTCCCTCTTCAGCGTGGGGGCGGTACTACTCATCCTCATGGGGCCGCTGTGTTGCTTAGATGACACAGGAATGTAAAGCTGGGCGCTTGCTGTGGGGGAGCCAGCTGGCATTTTTTTGAAAGTGTGTATGTGGCAGCTCTGGGCCCTTCCGACCATGCACACTGATCTTTTTAACAGCTAGTGAGATTTCAAAGCTGCTGTCCTTGGTTTACAGACAAGGAAACTGAAGCCCAACAAGTTCAGCAACTTGCCCAAGTATGTAGAGCTCTTATGGGAAAGCTCAGGAATTCACTCACACTCACGAGGAGTCCAGGAGTCAAACTGACTGTGTGTGGGGTGTCAGTGGCCCTGGTCAGGTCTCCAGCTTCCTAAGTGACCTGTGTTCTGAGGTGGAGAAACTGAGGCTTAGAGCCCCAGGACTCAGATCACAAATGGAGCTGAGACTTGCTGCCAAGCCCTCCTGATGTCCTTGCCACTCTGGGTCCTTTCCTGCTGGGTGATGCACATGCTCCAGAGGACTGACAAACACGTGGCTCGGGAGCGGGAGGGTCAGGATATGGATTTGATCCATGAACATTTTCCTTGGCCAGGTGAATAAAGCACCATTAAAGACCATCAACCAGGGGCGCCTGGGTGGCTCAGTCGTTAAGCGACTGCCTTCAGCTCAGGTCATGATCCCAAGGTCCTGGGATCAAGCCCCGCATCCGGCTTCCTGCTCTGCGGGAAGCCTGCTTCTCCCTCTCCCATTCCCCCTGCTTGTGTTCCCTCTCTCGCTGTGTCTCTCTCTGTAAAATAAATAAATAAAATCTTTAAAAAAAAAAAAAGACCATCAACCAGGCCATGGAAGTAAATTTATGTAGGGCTCTTCATAATGTTGAGTACCTACTGTGTGTGCCAGGCACTGTGCTGATTCTTTAGCTAGGGCAAGGGACAATTTTGATGAAGTGATAGCAGGGGAAGCATGCTCCTTTTTTTTTTTTAAGATTTTATTTATTTGAGAGAAAGAGACTGAGAGCACAAGTTGGGGGGAAGGGGCAGAGGGAGAGGGAGAAGCAGACTCCCGCTGAGCAGGAGCCCAATGTGGGGTTTGATCCCAGGACTCTGAGATCATGACCTGAGCTAAAGGCATATGCTTAATCAACTGAGCCACCCAGGTGCCCCAAGCATGCTCTTTTTTTAGGGTGTGTGTGTGTGTGTGTGTGTGTGTGTTTTAAACCTCTAGCCTGATTAATCTTTGGATAGAAGGCTGGATTTAGGGGTACTTATTGGATGTGTTAGTATGTCTTTTGTTGTTCATTTTCAGATTACAGCTAAGAAAGAGTCCTGTCCAAATACTGGCAGAGACAAAGACCACCTGTTGAAATATAATGTCGGTGATTTGGTGTGGTCCAAAGTGTCCGGTTACCCTTGGTGGCCATGCATGGTTTCTGCTGATCCACTCCTTCACAACTATACCAAACTTAAAGGTATTGTGTTTTTGCACTGTTGTTTCATCTTTCTCTTTCTGCACTTAATCTTTCTAATGTCCAAACTTTTTTCTTACTCTTCCATAGCCCTAGTATGGTTCTTTTTTATTTAAAAAAATTGTGCTAAAATACACATAACATAAACTCTACCGTCTTGACCATTTTTAAGTGCACAGCTCAGTGGTATTAAACACATTCACATTGCTGAGTGGTCATCACCACCATCCATCCCACGACTCACTCATCTTGTGAATCTGAACCTCGGTGTCCATTCAGGAATAACTCCCCGTTCCCGCTCCTCCCAGCACCTGGCACCCACTGTTCTATAGTCTGTCTACTTTTTGTAGTTTGGTTTGCAATTCCCTAAGGATTAGTGATGCTGAGCATCTTTTCTTGTGCTTATTGGCCATTTGTATGTCTCTGAAGAAATGTCTATGTAGTCCTTTGCCCATATGTGAATTGGATTTTGTTTTTTTGTTGTTGAATTTACAGTGGGTGGTTCATTTTTGCAACTTTAAAGTTAATAATTGGTTCAGATGTAACACACTGCCATTTCTTTTTATATCCAACTCAGATATGTACTTTATCTGATTGAATTAATAGAGAAGTAGTCTTGGCTTTATATTGCTTTTTAGGTTTTATGATAATTTATTGTTTAGATAAACAGTGATTGCTTATTTCAGCATAATTTTCAGAAATTATATTTTATACTAAGTTTGGGTTATAAAAATGTCCCAGTTTATTTTTTAGGCCTGTGGGAAGAAGGAAAAAACTAGAAATGATCTTCTTTGGCATCATGAAACTTGGGAATATAAATTGGTCTATGGAGCAATTGAAGAACACATTAGGGATATAATATGTTATGATACAGATTAGAGCAGATGCAGATTTAAGTATTAATTGGGGAGCTCACAAAACATAAAAGCTCGTGTGTTTTTGGAGGGAAAAATGAGTTCAGGTGGTTTGAGATTCTTCTAGAAAGTTCTTCCAGAGTAAAGTTTGAATTTAGTTTGAGGAAGGTGATAAATGGTGAGCACAGTGTTGGAGCTGAGCCAGGGTAGTGCCCAACTGGCCTGTGCACCCTTCAGAATTGTGGGTGACTGGAGCTGTGGGCTGGGCCAGGCGGGCTTCTTGGCCTCTTGGTACTGCTAATCAGTCAGCCTTATATGGCTTCTTAGTGGTACGTGAGTACATGTCCCCTCCTGTTCTTTGGCTGGAGGCCTGAGCTCTCACAGGAGTGGCATTGCTGCTCCCACTACGAGTTGGGGTGCTGTTGGCTTGCTGTGTGAAGCAGATGGCTGCTGGGGATGGGGTATACGGGGGTGCCTACCTGGCAAACAGACATGAGAGGGGGTGGGTTCAGAACAGAGAGGACCATGCTCGAGTCCTGAGTGCCTCTGAGTCCTGTCTAGCCTTCTTCCCCCGGGGGCTGGTTGGACTTTGCTTTGAGGCTCAGGAAAGCACATCTGCTTAGGACTTGTAGTGGCCAGAGAAGAACCTTTGGGCCGGCTTCAGCTCTGACTCCATGGAGGACCTTTGGCATCCTCAGCTTGCCAGAATTGGGGAGTCCCTTCCATGAGGCTTCAGGGACCCCAGGATGTACCCCAGAGGCATCTAGACTTGGTAGAGTATGAAAAAAACTATCAGTTGAGACAGAGGCTGGGCAGGCACACAGGTGTGCGCCTGAGGCGTTGCTGGTTCCTTCCCAGCTCTCTAAAACCACGCAGCAAAGCGAAGTAGAAGTCACGGTGGGCTTTATGACTTCACACCACTGGTCTGCCTAGCACATCACAAGCAATTCCTTTTTAATGTCTGGGGGTTTCGACTTTGTTTATATGAAGCTCCCGGCATCTCAGACCTATGTGATTGAAGGGGTCTTTTGAATGTCTCTTGGTTCCGGCTCCTGGGATTAATTAATCTTAATTTCATTACATCTTTCCCCTGATTTAGAGCAAAATAATTCCTGTAGTCTACAACAGCCTGTCTGAATGACATTCACTCACAGCACCATTTTTATTATCTCTCACTTCCTCCTCCTTTATTCTCTGGCCCTTACTCTTGCTTACAACATTGGAGCAGAGCATTATGCTCCCAGTGGAGGCATGGGCTCTGGAGTCAGCTTGTCAGGGTCTAACTCAACTGGTTGGTCTAGTAATGAACTGCTTAATTTCCTTAAGCCCCAATTTCCTACATATGAAAAAGGAGGGTAATGATAATAACACTTGTTTGGAAAGGTCTTTGCATGGTGAGTAGTGAGCATTCAGATGTTAGCACATGTTACTGTCGTCTTTTTTACTTTTAAACCCTGAATTTTTATCGTATCTATCCCCTTTCCCCTGGTCACCTCTAGGGCTCTTTCCTGAAAGCATTCCAGTTTGACCAGTTATTTCCCCTGCAGGATCCCAGTGTTGGATCATTTAATTTAGATAATTTTGTTCCCATTCTTAGTGCCTTTATGTCGCCAGACATGCCCCAGCTTTCCCAGCAGTGCCAAGGGTTCACACTTGAGTTCCATCTTGTTGCTTGTTTGTTTGCTTTGTGAAAGCTTTTATTTATTGTTTGCTTGTTTGTTTTTTATTTAAAAACCGTCCAAGCCCATGGTTCACAGTGGAACAGTACAGTGGACACCCATGAACCCTCACCTGTATTTGCAAACTTTAGCCTGCTCCATCTCTTTCTGAGTATGAACACTCCTTTGCCGACCCATGTGAATGGAGGCTGTAGGCCTCATGGTGCCTCACCCCTAGATGGGTCAGCAGGGATCTTCTGGGAACCAGGACAGCTTCCTGCCCAACTCAACACCCAGACACATGTAAGGAAACAGTGCATCAGTGACACTGCCCCATCCTCAGGACCCTTGCTTAGACTTCCCCAGCAATCTTCAGTGTTTTCCCTGTGCCTGTTTTTTCTTCGCTCTGGATTGAAAAGGGTGCTTGCATTGCAGTTAGCTGTTCACTGTCCTATCTCTTTAGGCTCCTGCAGTCTAGACCGGCACTCCCTGCCCCCAGCACTCACTGCTCTAGTCTCTTGTGATCAGACTCGGGTCCATAAGACCAGCCAGGTGTACCATGTAGGTGTTCTTGAGGGAAGGGGCTTGAGCTTGGCCCTTCACTGAATTACCTGCCTTCTTGCAGTGTGTTTCTGTAGGCACTGTTTGGGGATGTAGGGGAGGGAGCACTTGTAATCACAAGCAAATCAACTTCAGAAGACTGGTAATGTGCATTTGATAAGTAGTTCAAAAGGAAGGGAACCAGGGTGAACACCCTCCAGCTGATAGGACATTCACGTGACCTTTGAAAAGAAAAGGGGTCAGAGGAAACTGTGAGAATGGGGGGTAGGGGGATGACAGAAGGACACATGTCTCAGTTGAATTTTATCAGGAGCTCTTGGTGTCAGCTGTCCCACTTCCCAGTAGGTGGTGGCCAACAAAACTCTCCAGTGGAAAATACAGTCCTTTTTTTTTTGTCATTAGTGAGTGATCTGTGGCCATGTTTGGAGATTAGTTTCCTCTGCCAGTCTTTCCTCATGGTCTTAGCACTCCTTTATGATCCAGTGGCTTATAAAATGGTAACTGTCCATTTTTATCATGCTTTCTGTGTTTAATTAACTGGCATTTTTCTGTGAAAATGAGCTTCCTCTTAAAAATTTAGTTATATAGTATAGTCCTTACTCTTTAAAAAAATTTTTTTATTTAAATTCAATTTAATTAATATGGTAATATTATTAGTTTCAGAGGTAGAATTTAGTGATTCATCAGTTGCATATAACATTCAGTGCTCATTACATCAAGCGCCTTCCTTAATGCCCATCACCCAGTTACCCCCTTCCCCCAGTCCTTTTCCTCCCTCCCCCCCCACTCCCTCCCTCCCTCCCTTCTTTCCTTTCTTTCTTTCTTTAGATTTCTTTTTTTTTTTTTTTTTAGATTTCATTTATTTATGAGAGAGAGAGAGAGAGGGAGCACGAGTGAGGTGAGGGGCAAAGGGAGAAACAGACTCCCCGCTGAGCAGGGAGCCTGATGCAGGACTCAATCCCAGGACTCCAGGATCATGATCCGAGCCGAAGGCAGGTGCTTAACCTACTGAGCCACCCAGGTGCCCCAGTCCTTACTCTTTCTAATGCTCAAATTGCCCCAAATTTAACCAGCAGGAGTCCCATTAAGTCCCTTTCAGCAGTGTCCTTTTGACATGTCTCAGTCAGCCTTTGAGCACTTCTTACATGTGGCCCAATAAGATGTTCCATGCTCATTTTATACTTTGTTTGCCCTAGTCATGGAATCAGCCAGTTTCTTGAAGAAAACTTGGGTCTTTTTAGAAGACAGTGGTGTAGGGGTGCCTGGGTGGCTCAGATGGTTAAGTGTCTGCCTTCAGCTCAGGTCATGATCCCAGGGGCCTGCTCAGTGGAGAGCCTGCTTCTCCCTCTCCTTCTACTGCTCCCCCTGCTTGTGCTCTCTTGCTCTCTCTGTCAATTAAATAAATAAAATCTTAAAAAAAAAAAAAAAGACAGTGGTGTGTAGAAGCCCAGATCTGTGTGCCAGTTGTGTTCAGTGCTATGAGAGACAGAGAATTCACCAGGGATGTGTGAGGTAGGACTCCAGGCAGTACTGAGATCTGGCTCCAAGTAGAACTTTGGGTCCATTTATGATTCCTGTACACTTGGCCTGCAGCAACTCCATGGTGGGAGTAACATGGTGAGTAATGAGTATACTTTGGGGGTTTAGGCGTCCTTGTTGGGGAAGAACTAGGGACCTGAAGAAGGGGTGGCTTCTGGCATGGAGCTGGCTGAGCATGGGGGTCTTGTGAAGCAGGTTTTTCTTTTTTTTTTTTCCTGTGAGATGCAACTCCCTCACCTTACCCCCATCCCCATGCCAAATTTTATTTCCTTCTTTATTTTTATGTATGTAAACCTTTTTCTCCCACTTACCATGCTTGGATTTATAGATGTGCTTGAATTTGGATCTTAGTAACGCACTCAGATTTTAAAAATTGAAGTATAATATACATGCAGAAGAGAATACAACGTTGTATCATAAGCTGCAGCTCAATCCACACTCTTTTGAAAGTTCAAATTTCCTTTGAAAAGCTAAATGAATGAAAGGTTTAGTAGCATTTTTGTGATATATGGCGGTATAACTTGTCTTGCCTCCTGTCTATAAGGGCATCCAGATAGATGAGCAGCTTTGAGGCCTGACTCTTTAAATTGGGAACAGAAAATAAATGTATGTTTTAGATACTATACTGTGAAGAAAACGGAATTCTGTTGCATCCAGAGCTTCACCATCTTCTTGGCACACCTGCATCCCACTAGTCTTCTCATCAGATAACTGGGGTCAGGAGTCAAGTAATTATCTGTTGTGGAAAATTTTGTTGTCAACTTTTTCTGTTATGGAAGGGAACCCTCACTGCTTATTTCTAAATTCCAGCATTTTCTAAAAATATAGGTAATCTGGCTTTCTCATATCTTGGGTTATTTTATAGTATAATCTCCTTACTGATTTTTTCTTTTTTGCTTGTTCTCTCAGTTACTAAGAGAGGTGTGTTAAAATCATCCACTGTGATAGTGAATGTGCCTTTTTTTATTTGCAATTTTGTCAGTTTCTGCTTTACCTATTTTGGTGCTCCAGTGCCCCCCAGGTACTAAACCAGGAAATTCAGGCATGGTGATGCTTGTCCTTTATTTCCTGTAGAATTTTGTGGTGTCATGTCCTTGTGATTTTGTCCCTGTGCTCTATTCTTGCTTCTGTAGGCACTTGTCTGCATTTTTTTTATGGCTTCTCTTCCTCCCTAGAGCTTCAGTTCCAAAGCAGCCTGTCTCTTTGTGGAGTCCATTCTGCATGCATGGGTGACTGCTGTTAATTCAAAGGATTCCATAGAATCTGGAGAGACTCTGGCTCAGTCTGGCCCAGAGGGTCAGGGGACCACCTTAACTCCACTGGGCCATTATGGGGAGGAAAGGATTGTAATGCAAAATTAGGTACCTGGGCTATTGGTGGAGGACAGGTTCTCTTAGAAGGGATTGTAGGTAGGGGGAATCAATGACAGGTGTTTTTGTACCAACCATGATTGATGAACATCAGAAATCACAGGAAGAAATAATTACTAATAAATGGTGGGACAACTGGTAGATATTCACCTCTCAACTTGAACCAGAGAAATTCATATGGATTAAAGAAACCCATAAAAAAGGGGAAAATTTGGGTTATATTGTTACCAAGTTTCTAGATAGGAAAGAACTTCGAAACTAATTACATTATTTTACAAACTTGGGATCAGACTACAGTATTCTTCTCTGCTTTTTTTCACCTGACCTGTAAAGAGCATTTTTTCTGTGTAATTATTTATAAAAAATAATGTAAGTTCATATTATTTCATCATATGCACTGTGACAGATTTTCTTCATTATGCAAATGCTGTGACATATGTTTATAGTCCTTTTCATGACCAAGGAAAGTTCTTTCAGAGTATTAAAGTAATGGAAGAAGTCACAAATCCCTTAACATATTTTTGAATCTCACCTATTGTAAAATCAAAGAAGTATACACACTTAAAAACAGCCCGAATTCTATTGAGAGGTTAGTAGTGAACTTAGAGCTAATTATTTTTAACTCTTTCAACATTTTCTTCTAGTTTTAATTACTATCTTTTGATTTATCATTTAGATATTTTCTGTTATGGAAGATGAAGACTGCTCTCTTCACTCATTTCTTTTCTTCCCACCCTCTGTTCTTTGGTGTTTTTTGTTTGTTTTAATTTTTAGCCTACCACCCACTCCAGGGGGCAAATTAACTCACTGTTTTTATTACATCAAACATAAATGTTTACATAATTTTGACTATGTAAATATCATTCAGTGAAAAGCAAATTGTGTTCTGTAATTGCATTTTCTTTTTTGTACAACTTTTTGTTTTTCTTGGAGTTAATTATTGCCTTTCTTTCTTTCTTCTTCTTCTTTTTTTTAATAGGCTCTACACCCAATGTGGGGCTTGGACCCACGACCCCGAGATCAAGAGTCCCATGCTCCACTGATGAGCCAGGCAGGCACCCCTGCTTTTCTTTTTAAAATCATATACTTTGCTATATAAGGCTATACAGCCTTATTATTATTATTTTTTTTCAAGTATTCATTTCTCTGTCCCTGAAACTCATCCTATTATATAGTTTCTCCCTTTGGGGGAAAAAGTGAAAACCTGTGTGTGATTACCATTTTCCTTTTCTGCTCCTTGGATCTCATCTTTAAAAAAAAAAAGATTACTTATTTATTTAGAGTGTGTGTGTGCGTGAGCAGGGGGAGGGGTAGGAGTAGAGGGAGAGAGAATCTCAAGCAGATTCTGTGCTGAGCCTCTGAGCGCAGAGCATGGAGCTCGCTGTAGAGCTTGATCCCAAGACCCCAAGATCATGACCTAAGCTGAAATCAAGAGTCAGACATTTAACCAACTGAGCCACCCAGGCACCCCTTGGATCTCATTTTTTAATCCGCTTTCCCTGCTGCTCAGATTTTCTTTTGGTATGGAAGAGTTCTTTTATCTTTTCTTCCCCTGGAACTCTCTCCTGGAATCTTCCATTTTCATGCTGCAATCTGTATTGCTGGCACTCTTAACCTTTTGCATAGTAGTAATCTTAGACTTTATTTTAAGATGCTTTCCTGAGTTACATGCGTTGTTTTCTGTGGCTCCACACTGCTCACTTTTGGTCAGTTTTCCTTTTTTGCTGGAGTATATTTTTGGGGTTCTAAGAAAGTGTGTATGAGAGGTAAATTTGATTCCCTGTCGTTCGGAGGATGCTACTTCTGTGTTTTCACACTTGATTGATGGTTTGGCTCAGTATAGAATTTTATGTTGAAAATAATTCTTTTCAGAATTTTGAAGGTATTACAGCATTTCCCTCTAGCATCCGGGGCTGCTCTTGAAGTACCTTGTTATTCTACTTTTTATTCCATTAACGTGGAAGCTGCCCTTGTCCCCTCCCCCAACACCTTAAATGTCAGAAAGACGTGCATTGGTATGGGTATTGGATGAGGCACTTAGGATTGTTTTAGTTCTGAGATATGGTCTTGTGTTCATTCTTTGACAGCTTTCTCTGTTTCTCTCTCTAGAAGAACAGTTATTTGGGTATGGTACTTCCTGGATTGATCCTATAGGTTTCTTACGGGAGTAGATGTTTTTCACCTTATTTTTCTTTCTGGGAGATTTCTTAACTTACCTTCCAAGCTTTCTTGCTGATTTTTTTTTCGTAATTGTATTTTAAAGTTTCCAGTAGCTCTTTTTCTTCTCTTTTCATAGCAAACTAGACTTTTTCTTTGTCAGGTGTCCTCTCTTCCTGGTGTTTTGTGTGTGTGGCCTTGCAGAGACTGCTTATTTCTATGTGTCTTGGGCTCATTTTTGCTGGGGGCTTCCCTGGGTCCTGTGGGTCCTTGACGCTGTATTTGTGTTTGAGAGGGTACCACTCAGAGCTGCTGCAGCCTGTATGTGGGGAGAATGTTAGCTCATTTTAGAGGGGCCAGCTGGTCGTTGGCCATTTAGTTGGGAGGATCTCCAAAAGACTCAATGGAGAGGTTTTTCCTCTTGGATGTGTTGGTTCTTTAGGAAGTGTTCTTGGATTTCTTGTGACCGGCATTCTCTATGAAGGAGCAGGGGCTGGTAGTCCTCCTATGGAGATCCCCTTTTCTTGTTCCACTTGGTACAGAGATCTGACTTCTAACGCAGAGCTTGAACTCACAGCCCTGAGATCAAGACCTGAGCTGAGCTCAGGAGTCGGATGCTTAACTGACTGAGCCACCCAGGCATACTGAAATCTGACCTTTTATCCAGCTTGCTTGTTTTCAACCTCACTCTTCCTCAGCCGAAAATGGCATCTCCTCTCTTGGATTTTGGGATCAGGTGTCTCTTTCCTCACCCACCTCCCTTCTGGCTGCACTGTAGGATGTGGCTTCTTCCTTTATTCTAAGAGGAACAGCAGTAGACATCTGAGGAGTTACCCTGTGACCTCATGGCTGCCCTCAGAGGTCATTGGTGCCCTAATTCCCCCTGTAAGCATTGTGAGTGAGTAGCCAGCCCAAGGTTGCCCAGCTGGTAGGTGGTGAGGTTGGGATTTGAACTCAGGCTGTCTGACACCAGTCTCTGTCCCTTCATTGCTGCATAGGCACCTCTCTGTTGAATGGCCCTTTTGCTGCTGTCGTCTCTTGGCCTTCTTTATTTGGTAATCTTTTTAAGTGGATCTTGGAAGGAAGGAGATGTCCACTTTCTTTCCTAGTTTAATTTGAATCTTATCTGAGTCCCTCATAAATGCGTCTCCTTTCTCTTTGACACGGAGCATGGTGGGGATAAAAAGAGTAGGACTTTTTTCGAGGTTAGCAGACTCAAACAGCACCAAATAAAACGACCTCAAAGCAGCTTCCAGCTTCATATCAGTAATTATTAATAGACTTGCCTAATTTCATCTGAAATTCTAACTTTCAAGTTCTAACATTTTATTTTAAAAACTAGGTCAGAAAAAGAGTGCACGCCAGTATCACGTACAGTTCTTTGGTGATGCCCCAGAAAGAGCTTGGATATTTGAGAAGAGCCTTGTAGCTTTTGAAGGAGAAGGACAGTTTGAAAAATTATGCCAGGAAAGTGCCAAGCAGGCACCCACGAAAGCTGAGAAGATTAAGGTGATAGATGTTCCTTAAGTATAATTTTAGACCAAAACTTTAATTTTCATTCTTATTTATCTTTTTTGAAATTATGGTTGCTTGATTTATTATAATGGCTTATGTCTGTCATTATTTAACTTTGCCCAAGTACACTGTGTTACAAAACATGACAAGTTTCCTTAGGAACAGTTTATTCGTTTTACCCATTTGATGATAGAGATAATTTGTTTTATAACTTTTATTCTTCCTGTATATATAAAAATATAAAAAATGTTATATATAATATATATTATGTGATATACATATTACATTAGTTAAATGTGATTGGAATTGACTTCCTGTTTAAAGAAATAGTAGTTATTATATTGGGCTAAATTCTGTCTAAAACCTTCAAGTTAATTGGTTTTTATAGTTTTTGATTTCTAAATTTATCTGGAATTATAAAAGTATCCTTTTTTTAAAGTGGGTTACTTTTTTGTTTGTATAATGAAACTTACAATGTCTTATGTTTTTCTTTTCAGCTGTTGAAACCTATTTCAGGGAAATTGAGGGCCCAGTGGGAAATGGGCATCGTTCAAGCAGAAGAAGCTGCAAGCATGTCGGTAGAGGAGCGGAGAGCTAAGTTCACTTTCCTCTACGTGGGGGACCAGCTTCATCTCAACCCTCACGTAGCTAAGGAGGCAAGCATTGCTGTGGAGTCTCCGGGACAAATGGTAGAATCCTCAGGAGTCATTGAAGAAGCTGCTGATAACCCCAAGTCCATGAGAGAAGAGGGCATTCCCATCAAGAGAAGGCGGAGAGCCAAGCTGTCTAGTTCTGCCGAAAACCAAGAAAGTGACCCTGGGACGGTAAAGAGTACTCCTCAGAAGATGGCAGAAGCCGATCCCAAGAGAGGAGTAGGGTCTCCTCCTGGAAGGAAGAAGACCACGGCCTCTGCTCCACGAAGCAGGAAGGGAGATGCAGCGTCCCAGTTTTTGGTTTTCTGTCAGAAGCACAGGGATGAGGTGGGTACTGTGATGGGTTCTCAGGTGTTGTGTATTTATTCTGGGGAGTTCCTGAATTTGAGGAACATCCCTTCAGTGCTCTTTCTCTGTTTCTCAGCATTATCAGCACAGTCTGTAGTGAGCCTGGCAGAGTTTTTCGATCTAATAAATAAGTATTGTTAGAGAGCAGCCATTTTCACCCTTGGGGGCAAAGATGCTTGCCTCTGCACTCTTGGTTACGAAAATGTCTCTCCCATGGTGGGTGAGAAGATACCAGGGACAGGGATATATCAATGATGAAAGCATTTGAACACTTTCCTTAATTGTCGTCGTAGAATATGGCATCTTTTAGTACGTTGTAAAGCTTGATTGTAAAGAACTGAAGGGATTAAGCGCCTGTTTTTTTTGTTATGTTCAATAGTACTTGAAGTGAGTGGATCGGTAGGGCTTTTCTCAGTAATGTAAAGTTGGTGTAATGTGAGAAAATCAAGTATGTGATTCACTGTGTTGCAGATTAAATGATCCTCTCAGTAGATGAAGAAAAGGCAATTTGATAAATTTCACTGCTCTTTGATACGAAGTTAGCAAGCCAGAATTGGAAGGTGACTTCCTTAATCTCTTGAAGAGTATCAATCAGAAACTTTCAGTAAGCATCATACTTACTAATAAAACTTTAGAATCATTCTCTTTAAAATTGTGGACAAGACTAGATGCCTTTCTTTAACCGCTTACCTTAAGTGTTGCAGAGAAAATACTAGCCAGTACAGTAAGATAAGGGAAAGGAATGAAAAAGGCATAATTGTAAAGGAAGAAATAAAGCTGCCGTTGTTTGCAGAGGTCTGTGTGGAAAACTTAAGAGAATCTACAGAAAATATTTAGAATTAATAAGAGTTCACTAGGACTGGTGGATGTAAGATCAGTATACAAGAACAGCAGCAAAGAGGAAACGTAGTATTAAGACAGATACCATTTGGAGCGCCTGGCTGGCTCAGTTGGTAGAGTATGTGACTCTTGATCTCGGAGTTACGAGTTTGAGCCCCACTTAAAAATAAAATCTTAAGGAAAAAAAAAAAGACATACCATTTATGAGTGCAACAAAAAATAAGGTACCAAGAAATAAATATAACACAATATGTATAACTTTGGAGAAAAATAATGCTTGGTACTTTAGCGGACCTAAATAAACAGACATGTTAATGGATAGGAAGGTTCAGTATTCTGAAGTTGAAGTTGTCAGTTCTCCTTATATCAAACTATAAATTTTGTATAATCCTAATAAAACTCCCAATAGGAATTTCTTTGCACTTTTTAAGTGGATGATAAAGAGCCTCATCTGAAGACTTGCCCTGTCCCATAGGAAGTTCTGTTGCTAGAAGCAGGGATGTTTGTGCCTCGGATGTTCAGGGCAGCAGCAGCACCCCGAGTAGAGCCCGGAAGCAGACTCTTGAGCATGTGGAAGCAGATGGGAAAGGGGTGCAGACAGCTGGACAGGCTGGCTGCTCAGGATGGGCACTGGGACCACCCCAGTGGTTTCACAGCTCAGCTCCTGTGGAACAGCTTTGTGCTTTGGGAGAGGGGAGGGTTTCTTAAGCCAAACTGATCATAGATCGTTGAGGAGCTATGAAAGTGTATGTGCCAAGGACACCATGAACACGATGAAAGGATGAATGGTGTGTACAAGCTCAAATGATCCTGAAGGCTGTGAAAATGGCAATTTCTAGAAAAGTCTGGACAGCCAGTGCATCCATGAAGAGATGCTGCTCAGCCCATTGGCAGCCAGGGCGCTGCAGATGATAGTTGTGATGAGGGTGGTCTCCCCAGCCCCCAGGTGAGCAGCACAAGCCAGTGCCGCAGGAACGCTGAGCAGCAGTGAGAACCCCCATCCTTTCTTCCACCTGGTTTCAAGAGAAATTAGGCAATATATAGTGGAATTGAAGATGCGTGTTTTTTATGTATTATGATGTCGCGCCCAAGGAGACGGCACAGCGCTCGAAGCTGGAAGGCTGTGAAAGGAGCGCCAGCGGTGCTGTGCCCCTACAGCAGGACTCCGGGCACCAGTGCTGTGAGCCCACTGGCGGTCCAGGGGGAGGGCAGCGTGCTGACGGCTGTGCACACCCCATCCCGTTCTGTGAAGTGTGAGGAGTGTAGCGTAGCCACCTGTTTTACCACCTGTCTACCTACATCCATCCCAGAAGAGTAGACGTGTAGCTGTGAATGTGTGTCCTCTGTTTCAGAGCTGAGACGTCTTCCCAAGGAAGGTGGAGGAGCCGTGGCCACTGCCGGGTTTGAGACGGTGCAGAGCACTGAGCAGTGTGAGCAGCTACCACACTGGGCCTGCTGCAGGCCAGGGGCTCCAGTGGCACGCTCTGAATGTGCACCCCCGTGTCGACAGCGGATGCCTATCGTGGTTGCTGGAGAGCTTCATGCTCTGGGACAGCCAGCTGCGCTCCAGCCTGTTCCTAGTCTGTGTCTCCATGGTCTCTCCACTCATTTGAAATTATGAGAGAAAAGTGGGTGCCTGAGAATTCAAGCCACTTTACAAAGACCACCCTTTTTGCTTTTGGGGACCCAAATCGCTCTCAGATGGCCTTTCTAGTACTAAGAAATGTGCCAAGAACAAACAGAAGCCTGTCACTCCGGACACTGCTGACAGGCTGTGGCCTGAAGGCTGACACATGGGTGAGGTGCTCTGCCCTCAAGGAGCCGTGCCTCTGCTCTGGAGCTCTCTGGCTCTGAGCGCCCTCCAAAGCCCGTTCTGTACAGTGTGGCCACTGGCGTCCTGCTACATGCAACAACCAAACTGAAGGTGTACAGTTAAAATTCAGTTCTGCATTAAAGACAGGTGCTCTGCCCTGCTCTTCCCTGCTTGTACCCAGTCTCTGTAGGGCTGAGGGGCAGTGTGAGGCCCATGGGCCCCCTCCCTCCCAGCTGGGCTCAGGTGCTAGTTGATTTTGAGTAATTACGTGTTGTCAGAAGAGTGATGATGGCGGGATGCTCTTTTAACTGGTTCAGTTACTTTGTTTTTATTACAAGTGTGTATGTGCTGGTTCTGTAATAAGTAATCCTAGACTCCAGTTGAGAATAATCTGGGTCTTTCTAGGTTGTGTTTTCCTTTTGGGAGGTAGTGGTGACTCCGAGGATGGTTTTTGTTTGGTTGTTGATTGATTAATCAATGCCCAACTCTTGAGGAACAGCATTGGATGGAGACTTCCCTCTGCTTCCTGGACCCCCCTTTTCTAGGGTCACTAGATAGAAGACTATGACTATCAAGGACATTTGGCTGCCACTTGACTTTTTTTTGAGGTCCAGCTTCTTGCAAATGAAGGAAAGTGTTATGCTTTGTGAAATGTATTGAGTTCTTCATTAACGTGTTTTGTTTGTTCATCTTTGTCCATCAGGCTCAGCTTAGATGTGCAGCTCACAAGTGTGTTCTGTGGTGTTCTGGAATACAGTTAGAGGGGCTGCAGGTGGGGCAATGAGTTTGCTGGAAGACAACGTCCACAGTGGGATGTAGGCCCACTGATGAGGACCTGGGTGGGACGAGGGTGGGGGGGACTCTGTTTGCAGGCAAGGAGGCGAGAGCAGCAGCTGGGGGATCCCCACTGTGATGAACAGCGCAGGAAGAATTTACTGAAGGCTTCAAGCATCAGTAGCAATGTCATTGACTACTGATGTGTGTGGTCTCCATTTCCCATTTTTAAAGAATCTTTTCCACCTTCTCTGGTCCTAATTTTTACACATGCATTAGAGTTGAACCATGCAATATGTCTCCATTCTTTGTATATATATTCGTGTCAGTTATGTAGTGTTGCATAACACATGACCTCAAAACTAACTGCCTTAAAACAACAACACACATGGACTCTTGGACAGTTTCTGTGGGTCAGGAATTGGGGAGCAGCTTAGCTGGGTGGTTCTGACTCAGAATGTCCCATGAGGTCCCAGTTGAGATGTTGGCTGGGGCTGCATCGTCTAAAAGCTTGACTGGGGCTGGAGGGTCTTCTTCTGAGGTGCTGTCCTGCTGTTGCCTGTGGGAGGCCTCACCGTGTGGTCCTCTGCATGGGGTGGCTGGGTGTCCTCATAGCACAGAGGCTGGCTTCTCATGGAGCAGGTGATCCGAGAGAGGGCAGGGTGAGGTCTTACGGAAGTCTTAGACCTGACAAACTGTATGCCACTGCTTCTACACTGTGCAGTGGCTACACTGGCCAGTGCTGTTCAGTAGGGAGGCAGGAGTACCAGGAGTTGAGGCGTGAGCTGTAGGGGACTGTAGCCATCTCAGAAGTCTAAAAGGCGCACAGAGCTCTCAAAGGATGTGTGAGGCGACAGGTGGGCTGAGGGCAGGGAGTGCGATCTCTGAGGAGCGCTCTGAATCTTTGTAGTGGTAACAGTTCAATCAGCACAGTGTGTGAGCTTGTGGGTATTTGGTTTTCCATATTTTTTGTATGTCTGAGATAGTTTATTAAAAATCGGGGCACCTGTGTGGCTCAATCGGTTAAGTGCCCGCCTTTGGCTCAGGTCGTGATCTCAGGGTCCTGGGATCGAGTCCTGCATCGGGCTCTCTGCTCAGCGGGAAGTCTGCTTCTCCCTCTCCCTCTGTGCTCATGTGCTCTCTCTCTCTCTCTCTCTTTTTCTCTTTCTCAAATAAATAAAATCTTAAAAAAATATTTATGGTTGGGGTGCCTGGGTGACTCAGTCAGTTGAGTGTCCCAACTCTTGGATTCGGCTTAGGTCAGGATCTCAGGGTCCTGAGATGGAGTCCCACGTTGGGCTCTGCACTCAGTGGGGGGTCTACTTGAAGATTCTCTCTCCTTCTCCCTCTGCCCCTGCCCCTGCTTGCACACATGCTCTCTTTCTCTGTCTCTCAAATAAATAAATCTTTTTTTAAAAAAGATTTATTTATTTATTCATTTATGTATTTATTTATTTATTTGACAGAACAAGCGAGAGCACAAGTCGGGTCCGGGAGGGACAGAGGGAGAAGCCAACTCCCTGCTGAGCAGGGAGCCTGACGTGGGGCTCCATCCCAGGACCCTGGGATCATGACCTGAGCTGAAGGCAGATGCTTAACGACTGAGCCACCCAGGCGCCCCACAAATAAATAAATTTTTTAAAAAATATGGAAGTAGCCACTACTGAGTGCTTACCATCTGTAAGACACATTGCCAGTATGTTACTGTGAAAAATTATATTCAATTCTCATAAAGGCCTTTCGAGGTTGGCGTAAACTATCCCTGTCTCACAGCTAGCTACCCTGAACTCAGATATGTAAAGTGACTCTCCTTTACCAGTAGGAGGACACAGGCAGGAAGAAGGACTGGGACTTGGCCCGAATAATCACGTGTGTGTGCGTGCGTGCGTGTGTGTGCACGCACGAGCACGCACAGAACGTGTAAGCATTGTACTGCACTGCTTCCCTGATGAAACCCATCGACTTCAGTGAGCAGCCAATGCCTTATTAACCTAAAATGAAGATGGAGATACTCTGCGCCCCCACTGGAGTACACAGTATATGGTTAGGGATGAAGAATAAGCAGATGGTCCTCCAGAAGGTGAGCACTGTGGGTGGGATGGTGACTGCTTTGACCTTTTTATTTTCTGTCCCTAGCACAGAATGTTCCTTGAATGAATGAGTGAGCGAGTAAATATAGCATTGTAGCTGAAATTAAAAGCGTGATCCAAAGTCAGCCTGGTGGAAGAAAATGTTTCAGGGAGAGAGATGGAGCCTGCCATTGTGCCCCTGAGTGCAGAGTTGTTCAGGGAGTGATGAAAGTGGGGTGAGGATGGGTTCCAGGTTATGGGGGGCCATGGAAGACATTGCCAAGTGGCAGGGACCCTACCCTACATGTGGGCTGGGCTGTGGTCCCTCTGGTTGCAAGGAGGGAGACCTTTTAGGATGCGAATGTCAGCAGGTAGATGGATAGGACTGAAAGGCAGGAGGCTGGTTGCTGAAACCATAGCCATCTCGTTGGGGTGGATACAAAGATGTTCAGGAGTGGAGCTGGCCAGCCTGGCATGGATTTAGGTGCAAGGGGAAGGGGGCTTCAAGGAGGATTCAGGAGTCTTGTTTGATGAAGCAGCTGTGAACACTGCTAGGATTCATTCTGTTTGAGGATATTGTACTCAGGGGTGGGTGACCAAGGAGGGTGGTGGGTCCACAAATGCATGTGCTAATCTTGAGGAATCTTTAAGTGGAGAGTTCCAGAAGGCAATTGTCCTGTGACTTTGAAACTCTGCACAGAAACCTTTGTTGCATGAAGGTCTGAGACCTTTGATGCTTGAAATGTTGGGGCTGCTGAGCTCACCCTCCTGAAGGATGGGCAGGCAGGACAGAATCCTGCTGGGCCAAGAGGTGAGGATGCCCTGCCCCAAGATGAGAGGAGGAAGCAGGTGTGTGGGGGGCCGGGACTGCCATGGCAGGGGCAAGGTGGGAATGGTGACAGTTCACAAGGGGCACCGAGGAGAACACCTGGTGGAACACTGGAGCCCAGAGCTGAACTTTGAATTGCAGAAGGCGTTCTCGGGCTGTGAGGACACTGAAGGGCAGGATGATTGTGTAGGTGGTTGTTGATCCACATCTGAAAATGCACATGCTCTGAGATGCGAGGGTGGGTGGAAGTTGGTGGTGTGCCAGTGTCCATCAGGGCCAGGGAGGACACGATGAGGTGTGGGGGACACGGGAGGCTATAGGAAGCCGTCTGCAGTGACCACGTTGTGAGTGGGGGTTTGCATTTTGGGGCGGAGGTTACCTTCGTTGGTTGGGCAGGTGGTGGATCTCGGTGGTAATAGTGACCAGCAGGATTAACTCGTTGATTCCTTATCACTGCCAGGTGAAGTGTTAGCAGCCCCACATCACAGAGGGGGAGACACCTTCACTTACCCAAGTTCACAGAGCTGCCACGTGGGGGAGCCACATGCGAATCTGGGGTCTGGCTCCAAAGCATGCTGGCTAGTGCTCAGAATCAGGCAGCAGACCTTTTTGAGAGGGCCTCCAGGGCAGTTGAGGCCTGTGTTACTTCAGCTCTGCTGTTGTAGCAGGAGAACAGCCCTAGAAAACAGGTAAAGGGGTGCTTGTGGCTGCTTCCCGTAGAACTTTATCTGTGAACGCTGATGCTTGAATTTCCTGTAATTTTTATGTGCTAGGAAATATTCTTCTGACTTTTTTTTCCAACCGTTTAAGAATGTAAAATCAATTCTTAGTTCATGGACCATATAAAAACAGGAGGTGGGGCGGGTTTGGCTTGCCAGCCATCGTTTGTCCACCTCTGTGCCCCTGCTGTTGAGAGCTCTGAAGCTTGGGTGCACATGAGAGCCCCAGAGAGTCTTGAAAACACTGATGCCAGACCCAGAGAATGAACTGGCCTTGGGTGGGACCTGAACACCAGAGGTTTTAAAACTTCTCTGGTTGTTAGTGTGCAGACAAGGCTGTGGGCCCATGGATCATCTGCAGACCTTGGGAAAATGCAGGTTCCTGGTTGGCAAGTCTGGGGTGGGGCCTGAGGTCCTCATTTCTAGCATGCTTCCGGGGTGCTGATGCTGGCAGTCCCAGCATGGCTGGAGGGCCATGCAGGGGGCTTGTCTCTGTGTGCTGGCCTGCACTGTGAGGCATCATGGTGTGCTCCTTGGCCTGCCATCTGTACCATCCTTCCAGAGCATGTACCTGAGAGATGGAGGGTGTATGCTGCAGCAAATGAGAAAGCCAAGCTAAGACTTCACCCGTGTTGACAGGCACTTGTCCTACCACTGATTTTTCAAGGATGCCTAGATAATTGTAACTTGTAATAATTTAGTGATTTTGGAAAAGTGTATTTTTTCCTCTTACCACTTACTGTTTCCTGCCTTGACATAAATACAGTTGAATTCTTTTCACCAGCACTGTTTTTATTTATGAGCTTTCAATGGGTTATAGCATCAGATAATCACTAATTTTCTTTGAAGCTTTTATGGGGCATTGTCCCATGATGGAATAAATACACCACATGCTGAGTTCCCAAGGGCTGTGCATTGGATTTTGTGCAAAACAAAACCCAGGTTAGCTGTAGGTATGTGGCCTTCTGACCCCACCTTTCCTGTGTCCACAGGTTGTTGCCGAGCACCCAGACGCCTCAGGTGAGGAGATTGAAGAGCTGCTTGGATCCCAGTGGGACATGCTCAACGAGAAACAGAAAGCGCGCTATAACACAAAGTTTGCCCTAGTGGCCTCTTCCCAGTCTGAAGAAGACTCTGGTAAACGTAAAGCTGTACTAGCGTACTCTGCTTCGTTGTGATGTGTGTGTCGTGTAGCCAGCTGAGCTCCGGCCTGGGAACTGTAGAGAAGCGTGGCCGCTCCCCGCAGCTCTGACCCCTGGTGCTTGGGCCAGCAGCCAGAGTGCGTGTGGTCACAATAAAGCAACCTCTGCTGTCTGCATTTTCTCCCTCGTTGTCGTGAGAGCTGCTCAGTGTGATCCTCTGTCTGGCCTGTGAGCCCAAGTGGAGCGGGCACTCTAGCCTTTGCAGCCGATGGGGTGGTGTGAGGGGGGGGGACACAAGAAGGAAAGGAGCCTAGGCGGTCTCTAGGACTCCAGGCTTACATGATGTGGTAGCGTCAGACTGCAGGCACGTGGCCCCACGGTGATGCCCTCCCGGCAGGAAGTACGCCTGCACCTCAGGAGGTTCTCACCTCTGCAGGTGGGGGGCTCTGGACCTGGGAGCAGGGAGGGCGTTCCTGGCCTGTTTGCTTGAGAGCTCACAGGGTGAGGAAGGTGACTGTGGACTGACCTTAAGTGTGGCTGTCCTCTGGTTCTTCTTAGACCTTCAGTTTAAAAAACAAAAAATGCTACTTTGCTTTGGTCATTGGAAAGAGAAGGGAGGCTTAACACTGTTAAGCTTGGAGAGAACCTGTAACAGCGGTCAGATGTGTCATGCGTGCGTGGTTGGACATGTGTCATGGAAAACCGACATTTCTAACATGAAAATATATGGTTATCAATTTAAAATACAACACAATTCTGTATCTCTCAAGGTTCATGACTGAAGAGTTTTGGAGAGGCCAAATACAAAGTGTTTCAGGACTTACCTAAAAGGAGACCAAGACCCAGAAGTCATTGCACTAGTCACTGTGTGCACTGGCCTGTGCTTCTAGACTGCTTCTAGACCAGTCCTGCGTGCATCCGACTCTTTCTGCGCATGCACTTATGCAACCTTCCTGTTTGTTCACAGATGCTGTGGATGTTAGGCCTTTCTAGATCGCCACATCAACTGTCTCTTATGTTAATATTGAATTTTGTTCAATTCAGCATTTGTTGCAAATACTATAATTCAGAATAGCGAGGATGTTCTGGATTTGTGCATTTTCTTTAAAAGGCAGACGTTCACTTGACTCTTCCTCAGCACACTGGATCTAGAAGAGTGGGCCTTTTCAATGACTGGCTTATTTAAGAATGAGTCAGGTTTTCCTGAAGCCAGATTTAACTACCCTTCAAGAGTTAAGTGTGACTGTGATTGTGTGTACTGAGTACTTAGCAGACAGGAGGACAGGGTTGCTTTCCACTCTCAGTGTATGTCAGGTGTGTGCTTGTCCTGGAGGCCTTCTAGCCTCCCTTTTGGGGGCCCCCAATGCCGATAGCCAGGATGATGGGCCGTGTCAGTGGCATCAGCTGTCCCATGGCCTCAGTGTGAGGAGTTCAAACAGATGCCCACATTGCCTACGTCTGTATGAAACGCCTGCTTTCTTATTTTGGGTGCAGGGGGAGGTTCTTAGGTAAAGGACTGTGACATCATCTCACCTGTGTGAAGGTGAGGTGGCAGTTGCTGCTCACAGGTATCTATAGCTCAGTGGACAGCTGTTGATGAGGTTGGGCAAACCGGATTGAGGAGGTTCCGGCAGGTCAGGCTGGCTCTGCCCTATGCTGGTTATGCTTGGTGAGCTGCGGAGCAGACCCCACTGCTCTGCAGGCCTCTTCCCGGTGGGCCCCTATGGCCAGCCTACAGTGCTGGGGGGGCGTAGTGTATGTAGGCGGGCTCACACTGTTCTAGGACTGGCAGTTTCTGAGGGTCTAGTAATAGACCCTCACCACCTCCGCCTGTGGTGAGGCCCTGGGCAGAGTGACCAGGGTGTGGCCAGCTGCACCTCCTTCTGAGGCACTGTTGGATGCCACACTCCTGGCTGTGCTGCTCTGTCCCACCTGGTAGTAAGGTTTGAGGATGACACCGCCCTCCCACCAGGTGTCTGACGAACAGTCCAGGGATAAACCCGGAACCTCTGTAAAACAGTCATGCAAATGGAAATACTGGATTTGTGCTTGAAATAAACATTGGTGTGTTCAAATTAATCACCTCTCTAGAATTTGCACTCTTACCTTATTACATTTTATTTTTCTAGGTCAGGACCTTAAATCTTAAATTAGTTGATATTCCTGGAAATACCTAATAACTGGCATAGTTAAACAACATGGGGAAAGCCCTTAATTTGCAGATACAAAAGGAGTGTTGCTACTTAACATACTTCTTTCAGGAAATGTATAAAAAGTAGCAAGTTGTGTACTTTTTAAAGTTGCATTTAAATTCCACTGGTCTTAGAATGTTAGTAATCTAGTGGGTTATATTTAAATTTAATGCTATAGAACATTAAAATGTAATTATAACAAATACCAATATAATAATCTATAGATTAGATAAGGATTTTCCAGTATTTGATGTTACAGGAAATGGTCCCTTGCAATTTGCAAAATGCAAAGAGATTTGGTCTGTAATACTTAGGCCCTGGAAACCGACAGGATTACAGGAAGCCCATCAGGGGCTTGATTTGCACGTGAATGCCCGGGCTAGGTGATCATTGCTTTGGAGGGTGGCTTGTGGAGTGGTTTTCATGTAAGTTTCCCCCATCCCCCATTCCAAGGTAATGTAAATGGGAAAAAAAGAAACCACACGAAGAGGACACAGGACCCTACTGAAGACGCTGAAGTTGAAGATGGACCCAGGAAAAGACTCAGGACCGACAAGCACGGTCTTCGGAAGGTAATTATGCCCCAGGCCTGCCTCGGCTGGAGGAGTGTGTACTGTGTGACTGTTTAGTGGCTTTGTTTCCCTTAGGGGAGGCCGATGGCCTTCCTCTGAGGATGGTGCTCAGCGGGTTTTGTTTTAGAGGCAGTAGGGCTTGCTTCTCTCCTGAAACCCCTTTGAGAAGGCTGCTGAAGAGAGCAAGTTCTTTTTTTTTTTTTTCTTTTTTTCTTTTAAAG